GGTATCTACTGTGCTGCTAACAGGATCTCTTGCCTGGAACTTTCTAAATGTAAAGCCATCTAATTAAACCACTGCTGCAAAGCAGTAATTCTTCTTTATCATCCCGAGAGAGTTACCATCTCAAAATTTCAATAGGTAGGTATCTCAAAATCATTTAAGACATCATGATCTAACTAGAATTTGACACAACATTGTAAAATGATTATAAATCAATAAAAAATGTTAAAAAAAAGACATCATGATCCAAACTGAATAGTTCTAGCAGCTACAATAATCTTCCCTATTTTTCAACAAAATTAGTTTCCCTAAAATTTTCATCCATTGATTCTAGCGTTACGTCCTTATATAAATACATTTTCCTTCCACATGATAACAAATTTTTCAAATACCTGTTTCCCCAAGTCTTGACTTCAAGACTGCATTCTACAGCTCTTTCAAAAATTCAGATAAAATGGCTCCCTATCACTACACTAGCCTGGCCTTATTTTCAGGTGTGAGTACTTCTTGTAAAGATTCCATATGACCCTGATTCCATACAGCTGAAGTGAATTTATGAATCATTTTTAAATAACCAAGGTAGTTACAGATATATATATATATTTAAAAAAAGAAACTGTATGTTGTGGATCTAAGTCATAGTAACTGGAGAAAAGCACTTTCCTAAGAAATGTGACAATGACTCACCATAGACATCTGAGGGTCAGGAACTTTCACTATCTCGAAGCTCGTTAAAATTGGAGATGACTCATCACCATCCTGGATTACAGTTGTAGCAAATTAAAAAATAAATGAATGAAACCAAATGGTAAGAAATAAGACAGGAGAATGTGCACTCAAATGCATTTTCATTCTACTTGATGAACATCATTTCTCCTTTTAAAAAATTATCTTCTTTCAACTATATTTTAAAATACATATCCATTTTTTACCTTTTGTTACTGAGGAAATGTTCTGAAAACAAAACTGAACAATAAAAAAATCTGTATTATAGTTTTTAGAGATATGAGGTCTGGAAATTAGTAGTTTGCTTATGTCAGGATTTTTTTTTAAACTTTGTTTATAATAACTGAATCAAAATAATATGTCCTACTTTTCAAACTTAGAACAAGAAACCACAGAGTACAATTAAAATATGGCACAATGGATGTGTGCATTGTTTGCAAAAACTAAGTGGATTTTAGTAATTTTTCAAATTATTACAACTGAGTTCCACTCAGAAAAGTAGAATTTTAAACACAGAGTTAACATTACTCAAATTTACACCCGGCTAGAAACTCAGTGGCACTGCTTCTCAGGGGAACCTTACTCAACACAATACAAACCTGAATGATAGGAATCAATCCATCAATTCTTAAGAAACAAAGTTGCCTTATTTTGTTGGTATTACCATTTCTGAAGAATGGTTACTTTGATTTTTATCCAATGCAGGCAAGAAAAGTAATTTAGCATAATAAATGTCACCACATACATCCTGGAAAAGGCTAAACGAATTAAGGTTGAAATTCATTTCCTCACAACTGCACACCTAGTATCAAGTTTTTCTGTCAATTTCCAAATGTTAGTGTATTTTCAAATTTAGATATGTGCAACAAAATCAGGGAAGACTGAAAGAGGCGAAGTACTGTGACTTTAGGTTCAGTAATTGAGTCTTAGAGAAAACCACAAATTCCCACAGAAGTTGTTTAACAGGCCGGTTCTCAGTCACCACCCCAGAGTACACATTTATCAGCCCAGCTGTGACAAGTAATCTTCACTAAGGCTATCTGTCACAAAAGACAGGTGACAAGAAAGTCTATTTCCATTAGATTCAATACACCGGCCCAGCAATCTTTACACTAAGTGGAAATATGACAGGGGAGGTAGACAGGCATTAATTTACGGGCAATTTTCAAGAAGCAGTAGAAAAGGGTCAAGAACCTTTTCAAAAATACTTGAAATTCTTCTAATTTCTATTCTGCTATTATTTCATCTGCTATCAAAGCTGTCTTTCAAAAGATCCTTCACATCTCCAATGTTTCAAAGTACCATCTCTATTAACATGATTTTTGCAATATAAACTCCAAATGGGCAGGAAATAATGCTTTCAATGAAACTACATACAATAAAAATGTAAAATGCAATTTTACTCAAATGTATTGATAACAAAACAATTTCACTCACCTACATTTCCCTTTCTAATGCAGTTTTTCTAATTAACAAATGATGTTAAATAACCTTATCTTCCTATCTTCTTTTTTCTCCCAGAGAGTACAATTTATAAAATAAAAAGCTGAAACAACTATTCCTAACCTTTTACTTTAGAATGGGGGACAAGCTAAAGGGTAAAAGACACATTAACTTGAAAAGTACCAGAAAAGTGATCACAAATTAACTATACAAACCCCCACTATGAAAGCATCTTTCAAGTAGTAGTTTATAGTTACAAAAATACTTATATTTTAAAAAACCACTTGTGACAACTTTAACAAATAACACTAATGTGTAAATGTAATTTAAACGTGCTGCTTCTAAAGAACAGATACACTGCATACAGCTTAGCTATAGGCTAGAAGAAATACTATTCTTTTATGCCACATATCAAAAGTCTGTCCTCGGAAGCAGCTGCCTTAGTACTTCCAC